ACTGGTCATCTACAATTTACCCAAGAAAGGGTGTGGGGAGTTGGGAGAATGAAGTGATGAAGATTGTAGTGATTGTGGGAAAAAGTAATTTGGAACAATGAAAGAGAAATAGCAGATGTTAATTTAGCTAAAAGGGGTGACAGTTCATCCGGCTTGGAAGACTTGATGATGCGTGATATGGGGTGCACAAAAAATAGACAAAAGATTGTGGCACCGTTTCTTTGAAAACTGCTATCCTTTTTTATATTTTCACAATTATAATAAAGGTCTCTTTCAATCATAAACTGAATATCGGAATTGTATTCTACATAAAATAATTTAGTTCATATTTGCACAACCTCATATGCTTCCTTTTGTGTTTTCATAAAAGATGTAAAGCTTTTAAAATGTTTAAGCAATGTTTGAATTAATACAATCAGCAGGACTTCCTTGGATAGATAACGTTGGCATTAAAAGTTGAATTTGATTGTACTCTATTAAAAGAGGAAAATATGTAAAAATGAATCATTTTAATCTCTATGATCAGATCAAGTTGACTGCATTGCTGTACATTGATTTTTTCTTATAAATTACCTTGAGAGTTATCAGTTTTTGAATAAATCTGTTTATAAATCTGTGCTTTATAATTAAGCTGAGCTATAATTAAACTGAACTATCACTAGGACTGATAACCTAGAGCTGCATTTTCCTTTGAAGAGAAATATTGTGTCATATCTTTATTGTTGGAGCTTTTTACACTTCTTTTAGTTAGCGCTATAAAACCTATTTAGGCAAAATCTTTTTAAAGCAGAGGGTTAGTAAAATTTCTGGCCAATTAATGCTGAGGAAATATAAGACTGAAAACTGAATGCACTCTAAAAGTAATTTTTATAATTACTACATAAGTAGCACAGTTGGTTATGCTTCTGGTTTACTAAGGACAAATCTGAATATATGTGCAGTAGCAATAATTTGAAGACCACTAATTAAAGGAACAGCAACACTCATTACTAGTATGAAATGACTCTCATCAAGTGCAATTATTTTTTTGCATAGCACAGTTAATGACACAGAAAGGAAAGAAAAACATCTAAATACACAAGTTAATTTGATGCACATGCTTTTATTAGGGTTCTAAAATTGGAATGGAGATATCAGTTATTTTACTTTAGCATATTAATATTCTCAGTTAATAACATAAGGTAAATCAAATCAAAGGGAGGCATGCTTGTTAATTTTTTTCGTGTATATCTTCATGAAATTATATTTCTGTGGTAAACATGAGGATGCTTTAAGAATATTAACAAAGCTCAGTTAAAGGTTATAAAAAAGTGGATCCACTACCTTATTTTCATTTTTTTACTTTCTGTATTAAAGGATAAAAATGATCATATGAGAAATGTTTTGACCCATTTTTCAAATAAGTAAATACAGTAAAAACAAACTTCCATTATTGTTTTGTCCTCAAACATTGAACGTTGTTGAATGTATATATGTATATATTTTTTGGAAGATAATTTCTGATAACTGCCAGTTTATCTAACATCAGATCAGAAAAGCAGATTTGCAATTAAACATTCCAATAGCCCAAGCTACAGGCTATTTACTACTCATATACAACATCTCAACTGTTTTTTGATTAAAGTTCTGCTTAAAGGTGTCACAAGGTAGAAGCCCTGTTGATGCACAGTTCGGTCTTGCTAACACCAGTCAATATATAGTTAAAGGGACATAAAAGGAAGTAGTCTGGTGCTGCTGTTAAAGGCTGAAATGTATATGAACAGGGGATATCTCAGAGCGATGTTCTGCATTTCAGTGGGGTGATGTGAAAAATGTTTTGAATAGGCTCTGATTGCACAAATCAAATACAGAGGAAAAAAAGGGACACAGTAAAACACAAATCCTACAAACCTTCAGTTCTTTTCACACAATTCTCACAGGGAAAAGAGGACGGCTCACTGTAGGAAATCAGAGCAGTGATTGACAGATTAATCATTCCAGTGTTTGGTGTATGCATGTGTGTTCACATGTTTCTAGATATCTGGGAGCTAGTATAGTTCTGTGTGTCTCTTCTGACCTTGACAGATCCTGCAGCCACCTTTAAAACTCAGTCATTCAGGCACAGATGGTAGCTTGTGGCTACCAGAATCTGCAGCTGACAGTTAACACAATGTCCACTATAGAGATAACAATGGAGAGACTACTTAACAACCAGTCTGTGCTATAGGATTTTACTATACACTATTATAATGCATTGCTTTTGCTTCCTCTTTAATTAAATAGTTAAAAAGCAGGCTGAAAACTAGGAAATCAGATTAATTTAATTAAAAATGCTGTCTTTTTATGAGTCCTGTTCAAAACTGGACTCAAAACTATCCAAAGTTATTTATAATCCCTAAAATTTGTAACATATTGGTTCTTTTTCAAGCTTAAACTTAAGCCTCTTTTTCAAAAGAACAGTAAAAAGAGGATTGAAAGTATATGTTTGCATAAAATCTTTACAAATTGTGAAGTGTGCATTTGTGTTCAGGCCTAAAGAGATTAATTATTTCAGGGAGTTTTTCCTCTCCACTGTCGCTACAAGCATGCTTGGTGTGAGGGTTTGCCTTTGAGTCAATGAGTCAATGCAATCATCTGGTTTTCTTTAGATAGAAAACTTTGAATCAATCTGACTGTATGATCTGGTTAAATTGTAAAGTGCCTTGAGATGACATGTGTTGTGAATTGCCGCTATATAAATAAACTGAATTGAAACGAATAGAACAACCATTGCTGTAAATGTTGTGGTATTTGTCTTCACCAGCTCTCTAAAAATTGAGCCTTACATTTTTACTCATTTTTCTATAAACAGCTCAATCCCCAACATAGGGCTGCCAGCCTTATTTTGTACCATTAGAATGGTGTTGTCTAAGCTGTGATGTGTTTTTTGAAACTGAGGATGGGACTTTATATGCTTACTCTTCTATTAAATAATGCTGCATCGTCTGTCGCTTTAATGCATATTCTGGTTGTAACCTAACAACATGTTAAAAAATTCATCTTTTAAGTATTATAGCAAGGATTTCTCCTTTAAGTCTAAAACCCCGGACTTCACAGTTGGTACAAAGGCAACTAGTAAAAGAGCTCTGCTGTAGGTTTTGCCCTACAGGAGTCCTGGTTCACATTATATCACCCCTTGGCTACAGGGAGTCTGACCCAGAACTTAGTTACTTCTAATAGCTCTTCAGTATCATCTCATCCCTCGAGCCACTGATCTTCGCACAGATATTTTCCTTTCCATTTTATGGTTAACGTTGGGGAAATGGTCCTGGGTTATCTGACCCTTAATCTGTGGTGGGAAACGTGTTATTCCTCAGGCGTCTTTGCTTCTCGACAAACACAGAGAGATTTGAGGTAAGCCAGGGGGCAGTATGGGTCCAACAACCTTCCTCATAGCAAGGTTGAATCTTGGATGTTTACTTACCGGTAGTTTATGCTTTTACATGTGTGCAAGGCATTTTTGCTTTTATTTTTGTGTTGGTTTTCTAACTTTCTTCTTGAATTTATCTTCCAATCTTTACTATAATTTCTTTTTGTGTTCAAATCCCAACATGCATGTGTGTTTCTGTGTGTGTTGGACATACAGGGGCGGGGGAGATGTCATGTTCAGTTTGTGTTTGGCTAAACCAATGGTCTCCACCCCTAATAGCAGGGTCTATGGGGTGCAGACACATGCCAATATTCATTGGCAGTTGAATCAAGCCACTTAGATACCATCTGTAAACAGGACTCAGAGGGCCTGGAATTAAACCGAAGGCTGAAAACATTGGAGCTCACTGCAGAGATTACCAGAGGTTCATCCAGGTTAATGGGCTCTGTTGCTATAGATCAGTTACATAGATAGTGAAAAGGCTGTGTGTAGAGACTCACATCTTACAAATATTTGTTGCTATTTGAGTGTTTGAGAATGCTTGCTTATATATTAAATTGACTTTTCAATAAATTAATCTTACTAATTATAATTTCCCAAGGCTATAGAAATATATGAAAGAAAATGCATTGGAAACCTTTTTTTTTATTTATTTATCTACCATTATGTATCTTAAACTCTCTAAAATATGTCAATAAATTGATAAGCAATTCAAAAACAGAATTCTGTAAATATAATTTCTTCCTCACCTATGTGTTATTCAACTCCATACCTCTCTGTCTCCTTACTTCCTTTTGCCACCACGGTGTTCTGCTCACCAACACTGATTCATAATCTATAGCTGTGCCTGGGAGACCAGCAGCTATTGATTTAACGCCTACAGTAATCCAGCGCTGTATCCGCTGCTTGTTAGAGATGCTGGGGTCTAGAAACTGGGGCTTGCAGAGGTAGCCAGAGAAGGACCAGGACAGATGAAGAGGAGATTTTTTTTTTTCCCTTTTCCTGGGGCAGCAAATTTTCTGTTATAGTTTTATTCAATCATTGTCAAATTGCTGCAATAAATTAGAAATGTTCACTTACTGCTTGCGTTTATGTTATACACAGGAAAATATTCTTTTTTATCACTACTACAGTAATATAATACTGTAGCTTGATAAATAAAAATGTTTCTTTTTTTTCAAATGCGGATATGCACTTATCTGTAATAGAGCTTTGTTTGGTTTTTTCCAATTTCCTAAATTCACTCGTTACAAACAATTTTGCCAAACAGAGTTAGATTTTGGAAATAAATGCACAGTAACAGATGTGTTAACAGTTTTAAGGACTGGTGAATTCCCAATATTTTAATGATAAAGAGAAAACAGAAGTACAAATTTTAATCCTGTTAAGATTGTTAAAATGTAGATCAACAATGATAAAAAAGGCTAAAATAATCTAAATTCCACATTTGCTATAGATGTTATAAACATTTAGATACACCAACAAAACAAATATTAATAATGATTAATAAAAATCATTTTAAAGCATAAAGATATTGTATGAGGCAAATTGTTTGTATTAAATGTTGTATGTTTATATTTTTATTTGGCGGCTGGATTGCTCCCCTTTCCAGGGAGATGGACTGGACTGTTGAACCAGGTAAGTGACTCAGTGAGATCATCATCTTCTGTCAGATGATCGTGGTCACTTACCTGTGTTTCTCCCACCAGAGTGTCTGAGATTAGGCAGTGCCCTGTCACCCTCCTGCAGCATCCAAGAGTTGCAGATCCTAGCAGCAGAACAAGGACAGGCAGGCTCAGTAATTAGGGGGCAGAACACATCAGGATCAGGTAATCAGAAAACAAAAAGGTAGCGCCGCAACACTCTCACCAAGGGCTCGAATAATCTGGCACTGATGACTGGTTGAAGGCAGGTGTGGAGGGAAAAAGGTATTCAACTTTTCACCCCAGTTAAATAAACGGAGATTGATGGATTTCACTCAGTTGGTACTTTATTTTCATATTTGCAAAGAGAGAACAGTTCATCATACAGCCCTTATTGCTTGGTAATCAGCCCTGTCCTGGGCAGCATTCATTCCTCCTTACTTACAATAATGGAAAGTTGTCAAAATCAAAACAAATTACAGACACTTTGGTTGAACACTAACATGTTATGAATAAATCTCGAGAAATAATCTGGCTTGTTTTGGGAAGAAGGTTTGTCCTCTCTGAAGACACCTCACACAAGGGAATTGTGTGGCCTTGCACTGAGTGAAACCATTTACAGTGAGTAAATAGGATAAATTAATATATGAAATAAGAGAAACTACATTTTCCGACCAAAGCAGGTTAAATAGAGGCTGAAACAGGTGGATCAGATGAGTGGTAATGAGAAACTGGGCGGAGCTAAACAGGTGAATGAAATGAGTAATCAGACCAGTCATCAATGCCAAGATCATGACAGTAGGGAACGTATAATTAAAAATCATATCTGTTCTGCTGTTCTCTGCTTAGCAAAACTGTTGCCAGCATGCTGTTAATATATTTTGGCTTGCATGACACATTCCTTGACAATGTTCCAAAATTAGAACTAAAACATCTAGAAATCTAAACTGAGTTATATACTATTTAAACTCACGCAGATTTTGCAGCTGTAATAATAGCACAAATATGCAAAACAGAGGTTCCTTATGAAGGATTCCTATTATAATTTTCCTCACTTCTCAGGTATGTGCTCTGTCCTTCCCTAATCATTTTTTACCACTGGGAGTTAAGATTGTAACATGCGTGGGGTTGGTGAAAGTCATCCTCTGGACTTTTATTACATATACTAAATTTACATACATACAAACACATTCTTTATCAAATACAATTCCAGAAAAAGAATATACAGTTTAAATGCAAGTTTCATTTATCAAACTTTGTCTAAAGAAAAATATTCAAGATCTTCTGTTTCGGTTATAGTGACCTTAGATGTCTGACACATTCAGTAATCAAGTGTTCTCTTTTAGAGTGAGCGACAGTTAAGACAGCACTGACGTATTCAAACACTTTGCTAATCATGCGGAATACAATAGACAATGTTGCTTTTGCTTCATTAAGCATCCAGGTAAGTGGATATGCTCTTTAATAGTAATTATTAATTCTGCCTAATTTAGTTTGGCCCATCCATCATGATAATTGCACCATTCTTTGAATACATTTTCAACTGTGATATAGTCATGCATATATGGGCAATACCTTTGGCATCAGAGTTCCTTTTCATTATAGATAATTACTGTCTACGCAATTTAGATCTGTCCACTGAATGATGATGACAATGTACTTCATTTCATGAGTGACAAGAAAATGTGCCTACTAGTATACAACACTGAAAACCCCCAAAAGAATTTGATTTATGCATGAGTGTTTAAATAATGTGAAGAACTCTCCGATTAATATAACACAAATGTTAAAACTCTTCTTCTCCATGTGTCTGCCTAGCACATCTAGTCTTATTTTACGACTTTTCTAGTGAAGAATGCAATAGAACAAATGTAAAATAACATGTACATCTAAATCTATCACACCTAAATCAAACAGTAAATCTCAGAATGCTCCATAATCAAAATGACAATGAGGTTGAAGAGGAGTATTAATCTCAATCAAGTACAAACTGTCAGCTCAGAGACAAGACAAGCACTGTGACCTTCATTAGTCTGGTACAAATAATTAGCTGACCCTAGCTAATGAGTCCTCGACACTCACACACACATACCCATTGAGCACTCTGGTTTTTTATGTGCCTCTAATGAAAACAGGACTGATGCACAAAGCTGATTGCTTTGTTCTGATGAGTTTCTGGCTTGAGTGGTCTACTTGATTGATGGATTGATGAACGCAAGGATGGATAGAGGAGAATGGTCAGAAAATAAAAACTCTTGAACATGTGAGTGCCACTGTTAGAAAATATACCCACTGGTGGAATAAAAACAATCATCCACTTGTCTTATTGGGCAAATGTGTTTACTAAGGAAACACCTATCAGGGTATAACTGGCCATTACAAATGTTCAGTTTTCTTTTGACATTTGGCCACCAAATTTGGAAAATATAGTATACTAGCTTTTATTCTTATTATTTTTTAATAAATGTTTTAAAAGCATGATAGCAATAGGAATTTACTATATTATCCATATTTATATAAAAAAAAACATATGTCCCTGAACTTTGTAAGTTCATTTTCTTTTGTCTGTTTAGAAAAAAAAATGTTTCGTGCATCTACAAGCCTAATACTAGACTGATTAGTTTACAAAATGCATTACTAACCCTTTCTATATACTGTATTGATGCCAAACACTCAGAAACTGATAAATTCATAACCTCTGGTTGTCTCAACAGTAATTATCACAAAGTCCAAATAATTTGGCTTAATCACGTACTTCAAGTGCAGTCACTTCACTATAAGTAATACATTAATCTCTGCCATTTTCATTTTGTATAACAGCAAGTTGAAGGTAAAAATGATCCTCCAGGAAAAAAAACAAATAAAAAAAATAAACAAAAATGGCTGTTCAAGATGGGGTATAAACATTTATCATTAGCTCAGCCACATAACTTGCTGGCCCAAAGAGGAATTCCTCTTTGCTAGCTGCTTAGATATCAGTTTTCTTTCAGAAGAATGAGATGATAAAAACAGTAAAACAAAAATAAGGACCTGTTGCTTTAATCCAACAGGAAAATCAATGCTCTTATACCAGAAAATGATGTTGAAATGGGTTGAGACTATATTGTAGATGAGCGCAATTTATATTATGAATGCAGGTTGACATAGTCTCTTAGAATAAAAAGGTTTCAGTTATAGAAACTGGTACTTTAAACCTCAGTAGGTGAGCTTTAAACAAAAGGTTAAATGCAAACATGTTACTTTAAAAGCTGTCAGCAGTGCGCAAAACATGTCAGTGATGTGATGAATAAGTGCCTCCACATACTCTAGTCCATTTCTAGGTCTTTGGGCTGTCAGTTTTAGCATGGTACTAATATATTCTGGCACCATTTCTGAAGACAATTATGTGAAATTGCTGCTTTCTCATCTAGATTTGTCTGTCTCCACTATTTTCATCTCAATCCAATCTGAAACCATTTGAGCAAATAAAACGATATTTACTTCATCTTCTGTTACAAGATTTCAAAATTACAGGCCTCACGAAAAATCAATACAAAATGCCATCTTAGCTGCAGATGTATGCTCTGCAAGAATGCTAACTTTTCCTTTCTCTGTCTCCCCATTCTCCCACAGAGATAGTAGGAGGGGACTTGGAATAAAAAGCTGTTCACAAACAACTAAAGGGATGTGTGGGGTGGATATTGTGGTTGATGTTTATAAACTACTTGTGCTTGCAGGCCGAATGCACGATTGTCTTGTCCAAGACGCTAACCTTTAGCAACTCGCTGCGCTTCGGCACATCTTACAAAGTTCACTGTGAGAAGGGAGTCTTGACCCTGCGGATGATTTGGAGGACTGAAATACCACTTTCATTTATTATTTATCCAGACTGGCCGAGGGGAAGGCAAGTCGTGGGGCTGTCATACCTGACTGGCTAATGTAAGAAGTGGCCATCTCTCTGCAACCCAAGGGAATTAAAGCCCATTACTGCTTTGAGAGATTGCCTAATGTCCACTGTGAACACACAGAAGATAAAAAAACATTAGGATGGGAGGAAGATGTGTATACACAAAACACACAATTCTGAAAACAAGACGCCGGGAAGCAGTCTAAGATGAGTCAAATATATTTTTCAAAATCTTGGGGAATCAAGAGGGAAGCATTTATAATTTAGAGCCTGCCTTGTAGGATTTCTTCTAAGTCCAGTAAAACCAATTAATCATGAAATACTCTTTAAATGTATTCCCTAGATTCACATGCAAAGAGGTCACTATTTCAGATATGATATTCATATCACCAGTCATTTACAGACTGTTTGAATTTTTCATTCCATCTCATTACAAATTTTAAGCAGTTTGTTTTGGGGGTTTTTCTACAAGAACGTGCATACAAACTTTGTAAACATGTCTGTGAGATCTTCATGAATGGAATTTTTCTATGGCAGGGATTGGAGAACTGGTCAGATCTGATCATGGGGAAAAATTACAGTGGATGAGGGGTATAAACACCCTGCAAATACGTACAATCACTATTGTCTGTATGTCTGTGATGAAGCATTTCTTTGCATTTTCTTTACATCTGTTTTGGTGTTTGTTTTTGTTAGTCCAACTTATTAAGGCTAGATTTTGTGTTAGCATTTGTCATTTTCCAGGGTGGCAGTTGAACATTTAGTATGATAACAAGGCTTAGACTACATGCAAAGTCACAATGTAATTTTTGAATCAAAGCAAAAGGAATAAGTATATAGAATACCCCAGTCAGAGTACAAGATTAAATCTAAATCAGATGTTTTGTCAAAAGTTGGAACTGGCCATTCAAACATGCCTGGGCCAACATTTCTCTAGCTGTGCGCAACTGGTTAAGTGCATCTTGCTTTAACTGAACAGGATTGATTTAAAGTAAGGTTTTGATGGAAATGGACGTATGGATGCTTAACTTTTTATTTTTAAATGATTCTGAAAACCAGGTGTCCTTTTCCTTCCACTTTATGGTACTATGTTTTGTTAGTCTGTCATATAAAATTCCAATAAACAATTTGTGGTCTGTGATTGGAAAAAAATCTTTAACGGTTAAGGGGGAGGCATGTGGGTTTTAAAGGAACTGTTTAAATATGACCAATACTAAACTTTAGAACAAAATAACATTGCAATATTTAATGAAACCTGAAACCAGTAATTTAAAAGATATAAAAGCTGTTAGTTTCAATGC